AGCAGCAGCAGCAGCAGCAGGCTGCTTACAAATTATAGCACTTTTGAACACATCCAGCCAACCAAATGCATATCTAATAAAGGATAAAATTTTTCAGAAATATAACAAAAAATCTCCACATATGCCTGAAAATGCAATCAGGGAAAAAGCACAGTATAACAACGCCTGTCGATAAGCTTGTTTTTTTCAGTTAGCACTAAACTGATGTATGATGAGCTCATAAACTAGTCTCCCCGATAGCATGCTGCGGACAAACAACTGCCTATTCGGAATGATTACTGCATATGTCAGAACAGTAAATTATCGCAGCAACTGATCTTAGTGTTAGGAATGCCAAACATCTAGTTATGCGTTTTTGCATATATGCAAATGCAAGAACGCATATTGTGAAGACCGCGGTGTGTGTGTGTGTATGTATGTGTGTGTGTGTGCACTTGTTGGGGTATTTCAACTCGGCAACCAAGCAAGCTTTGGTGCTGAAATTTTGCCAGTGGGTTTCCAGGTCAAGTGCCACCTCAGGACCGGGGCATCGATTCTCATGCACGCTTGCGCCGCGCGTACGAACGCATGAAAGTTCTGACGAGAAAACTGACAACTCAGGAATCAGAAAAGCTAGAAAATTGAAACTTTGAGGAGATGTTCCCCGTTCGAGTAGAAATTAGAAATTTCAGAATCAGTCCCCAGATGTGCGTGGTTCTTATGTATGGCCCCACGAAAGTTTCTGGCCGGAAAATCGTTAACTTCGGAAGAGAAAAGCTGGGAAGCTGAAATTTTAAGAGGGTGTTCCTAACTCACGTACAACTTAAAGATTTCAAACTCGGCCCCCTGGTGTGCGCGGTTCTCACGTACGGCCCCGTGAAGATTTTTGACAAGAAAGTTGCTAGCTCGGGGACCGTAACAGCTGGAAAGCTGAAATTTCCATGGAATGTCCCCTGTACAAGTTCCACATAGTTGCATAATTAACTTCTTGAAGTTCGAAGACCGGTATGTCACAAACCCTCTCTGCTGGGATTCCAAGCGATCTTACTACAGCACGAAATACTGAAAAAACGCATGATCACACGGGTCTGCCTGGTGCGCATCGCCACTGATTTTCGCTTCCCACCGGAACCTCATAAAACTTATACGATATATATATATGAATTCTCATTTCAGAAAACTGGTATCTAAGTTTATTTTCCAGCTTAGCATCTCTCGTTCTCTAAAATTTTATTAAGAGCAAAAAAAATTCTGCACTTCTTTATATGCAAAACCCTTCGAAGTGCATTCGAGTCTCCGGAAGTTCCCCCGGCGAACAGGAATAAAAATTCAAAATTCATTACACTGCAATCACCACCATTTACACCTCCTAACTACTATTTCCAACACTGATTTACTGAAGGTGCGGTACAGTATGGTGAAGGCAAGCAAGACTGCGATCCACTTCATTTTTAATTTTCCACATCGACTAAGACAGAGAAGAGCCCTGCCCTCTTAATGAGAAAGCATACTGATAAGAATGGCATATGAAGCACAGAGAGGAAAGTCCTGCCCCTCACCAGCAAGAAGGCATACTGATAGGAAGGGACCATGGAGTACCACATAAAAGGAAATGTGGCGATAAACGCGAATAGATGAGCACTCGGAAGTGTAACAAAACAACAACTAAAAGAACCAATACCACATCACCTAAAAGAAATCATGTTGTTAATCCAGGACCAAAACTACAGGCGTATTTTTACCTATAGCGAAAACACTATGTTCATAGCGAGAAACTCACAATCGATGAACAGTCTATTAAATGAAGTTGTGACCAATGTCACGAAAACAGGAATCCAAATTCAAGAAGGAAGAATAAAAAGGCGAAAAGCTCGTACTACCCTCTACTCAAAATGAAATTCCAGAAGTTCGCAAAGCGACCAATACAGCTAAATGGAACGATTTAGGCGGTGGGTATTAACTAGAGATATTCAATGCAGGACTGAAGAGCGGCGCCTGACTAGTGGGCATTCCGGTAACAACACTAACATGGGATGCCTGACAATATAACCAGGAATTCTCGGTATTTCTGAATAAACGACAAAACGATTTAGAACAGGTTTTAGGAAAAAATAAGTGCACTGCTGTTATCAACAGCTGATACAACAACTAAGCAATAAGTCAAGGAATCGCACTTCTTCGGTGGCCACCCTTCACTCCTGTGCACAGCAACTTTCCTGTCTTTTCATTGAATTTATCTCATTCTCTCAACTGGCCAAACCAACACGAAAAGAAATGGCCGCTTTGTGATCCGCGTCCCTTGTTCATCTTAGACCATCAAAGCAAACTTGCTATTGAAAAAGGCCCACACACGTCGTCAGAAACGTCTTGTCAAAGTATTTTTGTTGTTCGACTAGCGCCTACGGAAATACGTTGCAGCCATCAGCCCTCAAGAAACCGCAACTAAATACTTATCTTTTGCACTACCAAAAATGGCTTTCAATTTATCGAAATCGGATCTAGTTCCCCGTAAAGGCCAGAGAATTACTCTGCCTTGTTCTTGTGAAATTTGCTGTGGGTATTCCTCTCATCCGTATTGTGTAGCTCGGCGTAATCAGTCGGAGAATAGGGAAGGGGAGCTTGATGTAAATTTGTCACAGGCGTGGAGAGCAACAACTACTTGAAAACAACCAAAATCGGCCGATGTGAAATAAGACTAAAGTATTTTTTGGGAATCTGCTGCCAGAACTTTTACCAAAAAAGGGATCCAGTCTACGAAACGATCGCATCTCTCTTTTCCTCCCACCCGCCCTCTTTAAACTGTTTCTCAGCTGCGGCGATCATCAAATAGCCCGTTTCCGTGCATCCTAAATGATTTACATAAACAGAACACCGTAACACTCAGTCGAAGCATCCGCAGTGAGACCCAAACACATCTTGCCAATAAGTTTGCTGTGCATCCCAATGCTCCACACAGCAGCCATTCGTACCGATAGATTTTTTAAATTCAGTTGAACTTTACATGATTTTCAAGCAGCCGGTCGCCGATAAAGACGATCTGCATGCGCTCTCCGACAACTGTAGTGCGGCATCGCTTCTAATTTAAGTGGTGCTACTTGGACGATAGCCAAGCTAAAAGCAACGAAGCACGGAAAGCAAGAAACAGCTCTCGCCTTCCTGGTAACCGGTGGACGTTGTGTACCACTGAGTGGACGCTCTTCCTAGTAACGAAGACAGCACGTTACCACTGAAACAATTTTACGGTATGTATGAAGCCAATGTTCTAGAGGTACCAGTATGAACATCTACGGTGTAACCACTGAAAATTTAAAACTTGGAAATATGCAAAATTTATTTACATCATTGAATGGGCTGTCGTCAGGATGGATAGCATGGATATAATATGGCTACGCACTTGTCGCTGGGCAGCAGTTCGATTGATGATGGATGGATAAAACACTGCGATCGTGGAGGCAGCGGTTGGCTTTCACGACCGCAATAATAGTCTGTTGCAGTAGTAGTGGCAGTACTGGCAGTAGCAGCAGCAGCAGCAGTAGCACTTCCTCGTTAATTAGAGCACCGAAGAAGGTCTACTGGCTCAGACCCTTAAGTTTTTTGCACTAACTACACTGCTCAAGAAAGCGTCAGCCCGTGTTCTTGTTTATTCAAAACTAATATGACTACAGTTATCAAATAATTAAGCAGAAAATTCAAAAATGACTGCACGCGACTTTCTACACTATAGCACTGCAAATCACTTCCCGAATCTTGACCATAAACGTGCCACAGTGATCCTCTCTCTCACGTATATGAATTCGAACAGTTTTCATACATTCAAATTGACGCACATGCACCCCTGGTACATTAGCATTGTCGACTTGTCCACATGGACTAGTTTCGACAGTCCTCTCTCACTTTTATGCGTTCTGTGCTGCAACAGTTGCAAAAAACGCGTTTTGTCGAGACCCCGTGTGTGTGTGTGTGTGTGTGTGT